ACTTCTTGAGGTTTGCATACAATTGATGCTTTCGCATGATTGTAAGAACCTGTCGGACGTGGTACCTGTGAACCTCAACGTCCGACTTTCCATCCATAGCTCGACTATGGATGAATACGTCATCGAAATAACTCGGCGCGAATTCGCGTACTGGTCTCAACAGATGTGATACACATCTGTTGAACGTGGCAGGGGCATTACTAAGCCCTTGTGGCATTACTAGCCATTCCCAGAGCATGCCGCTAGGGCGTGCTAACTGCGGTATAGGGTATATCCCGTTCTCCGCATAAGGATTTGATAGAAGCCATCCATCAAATCCATGGACGAAAAGATGGTACTCTTTGACATACCATCAATGATTACGTCCTTCCTTGGTATCGGCGTCTGAGCCGGTACCGTTGCAGCGTTCAATTTGTTGAACGCGTGCACTATCCGCCACCCTCCTGTTGCTTTTCGCACACAGAAGGTCGGAGAGCTATGTGGGGAAGTTGATTCCCCTCACATGGCCCGCAGCTAAACGATCGGCAAAGAACTTGTCGATCGCAAGTACTTGTTCACGAGGCAGTGGCCACTGCTTCATGACACAGTACTTCGAGCCTGGTTTAAGCTCGACCTCGTGTCGAATACCTTTATCCTTCGGTAATTCGCACGGAACAGTTTCAGGGAATACATCCTTGAATTCAACCAAATCTTCATAGAGAGGATTTGTCTTGAGCGATTCCCACGATTGGGAGTCATATCGCTCAATTCGTGTCTTTTCATCTAGGACACTCTCGTCCATAGATGAACTACTGAGAACTCTCTCGTTCTCAGTAAACACTGTTGCTGACCTTATGTCGGTTACACACTCGTCGTCAGCGACGAGTACGCAGATCTGCTTGACTTTGCCACTACGCAGATCACGCAAGAACCTTTTATGTTCGAGCGTTGGCAACTGAGTGATCTCCGAAGTTAACTTCGGAGGCGCAATCAGATCAAGTGTATAAGCGCCTACACTTGATCCGTCATTGACTATGACATTCAATGTCTCTGTCATTTCCTGGGGACTTATTCCCTCAGGCTTCGAAGGACTTATTCCTTCGGCTTCCCGGGGACTTATTCCCGCGGGTTTCGGGGAACTTATTTCCGCCGTATTTGTAATCTTGGGACTTATTCCCTTTACTTCCTCTAGCTGGGGTTGCGCAACCACAGCGAGATCCTCTACGAAAGACTCTCCAGTCGATCTAGGATTATCGTTTCGCTTAACCTGAGCGATCGATTGTTTCTCTTCTAGATGTTCCCCGCTAGGGATACATCTTTGTCCCGGTCCACCCGACTTATTCGAGTGGTGGACCTTCGGCGCAGCCTGTGTTTCCTCACAGCCGCCGGAACTTTGCTCCGAAGTGTAACCGTTTGGTACACTAAGGTTTTGTGCAGTCGTACTAACGACCGTACCACAAGTGAGGCCATCGCACTCACTCGTAGTACATCCACACGCTTGTGGACGCTCCAAAACGTTCATCAGATGGCCATCTGATGAACAAGCGGCAGGCATCGTTACTGTCCGATGTTGCCAGTTTACCCGTGGTTCGTACCTTCTGAGCCACGGTATTCCAAGGATGACATCAAATTTGTCATCCAAATCCAATACGATAAAGTCATCGTCATATTGGGTATCTTCTAGCGTATAGTGGATCTTCACTATACGCTTCATGACGGTTACGGATGCGCCTGTCGCAAGACGTACCGTCATCCTCGTAGGAGGTGTGTCACATTCACTGAACTTAAAGTGACCATCTTCTAGCGATTGGCGTCGCACAAAATTGTTGGACGCCCCACAATCGACTAGAGCTCGAAGGGACAACTTATTCGTCACTTCGAGTTTCAAGGTAATGAGTGAGATCTCATTACCTAGAGCAGCAACGCACAACGTTTGTGTGTTGGGAGCAACCTTCATCAAGAGGCCTACAAATTCTCTTGACGTTGCTGGACCAGTAGGGTGCTCCGCACCTACTGATCCTGTCCGTTTTTTGACGGTCCATCCCGTTGTTGCGTCTTTGCACCAACAGCGGACCCGCGTCCCTGCCCCTTTCTCATGGGTGGACGGTCACTACGCCCAGTGTTGCGAGACACTGGACGAGGGGCACTACACTCGTAAGCGTAGTGTCCTGTCTTTTGACATCTGTTGCATCTCTGCAACTTCTTGTAGCCTGTAGAGCGAGCCTTCTCGCTCTCTACATAACAGAGTTCCATCGGCTCTGGACCTCCGCTGTCATATCGTCTCGGTTGACGATATGATGTCGAGCTGGCGCGAGCCTGTCTCAGACTGAAGTCTTCCTGTTCCGCAATGGAAATGGCTTGTTCTAGTGAATCTAGTTCAAGCCGGAACAGGTGAGTCTTGACGGGACCATCCGCAAGACCCTGCATGAACACCGAAACCAACGTGTGTTCATCCACCGGATTGGAACTTATACAACTCGTGAGATGTCGTATATGTTGCGCGTAAGCGTGCACATCACGCTTACCCTGTTTGAGCTTCAAGAGTTCGGTTCGAGCTCTGAACTCAGCTCTAGGCGGTTCAAACGTTTGTCTGAGCCGCGACTTGAAGACTTCCAACGACCCAAACGCATATGGGTCGTGCAACTTGAGCCCCAGTGCCCAAGTCTTGGCACGTCCTGCCAGATTTGACTGGGCAAATGCAACTTGCATATCCCCGTCGTCGATGCGACGCGCCCTTATGGCGTCATCCAATTCGACGAACCATCTCAAGAGGGAGTCCTCTTCGACTCCCCTATACTTGGAGATGTCAATCTTCAAAGTCTCGGGTCGACGCGAGTGCATCGACCCACCAGCAGCAGCCTGCTGCTGTCTCAACAGTTCAAACTGTTGAGCACCCTGTTCTCTCAACAACTCTGCTTGTTGAGAACCTTGTTGGTGAAGCAAGGCTACTTTCTCGCGTTCAGCGTCAAGTTCATTTTGAATGAACTTGGCGATAGTAGCATGTTGGGCATCTCTATTGAGAGCCTCTAGCATGACGCTAACAGCATGGATGCCCATGGTTGAACCCATTCGTTCAACCGCATCCCATTCGACATCGCTCAAATGGGAGTAGCCGTCACGCGTAGCGTGAAAGCTTTGGTCATCTTCATCATCCAACATATTCATGTTAGATGTGAACGTGGTCCTTGGACGGACTACGAAGTGCTACCAGGTGTAACGGGGCACCCTGAAGCTTGTACTGGTGACAGTACAAGCTACTTATTCTGATAACAGAATAAGGCGGTGCCTCGGAACTTCACGTACACTCGTACGTGCAGAGGAAGACGGTAAGAAGAAGCGAGTACTTGGTTCAAGTAAAAGTAGAACTGTATTTATAATAGTTAATGTCTGCAATAAATCACTATTTGTCTTCATCTAACTATGTCTAGATACAAATGTGTAAATCAACTATCTTCTCACCACTCATTGCGTGCGTCTGTCGTGGCGCGTCTTCGTTGGTTGATATAATGGCCTATATCAACCAATTAGGAACTACTCGTAAGTGCTACAGAATATTTGTCCTTATGACAATATTCTGAGAATTTAACTCTTATAGTTATATTCTATTATCAATTTCTTATAATTTGTTATGTAACAATTCACCCCGTTACAGCCGCTTTGGCCGGCGCCTTCCGTTCAGTTTGCTCTAGCGCATCGATTCGCATCGTTACCACACAGAAGTTCGTACTGAGCGCCGATGCGGACAAGAATATTGTCCTTATGACAATATTCTGAGAATATAACTCTTATAGTTATATTCTATTAACAATTTCTTATAAACTTTTATGAAACGATTCACCACGTTACAGTCATGCCTCGCGGAGATCGTATCCAGATGTCGAGATGCGCTTCTTTCTTGGCACGCCCCGTACACATTAGGACGGTACCCTTGCCTCTCCGGCACGATCCGCGTTGCTGCAAGCGCCAGCACGATTTTCGCCGTCGAAACTTCCAAAACGGTGGCGAACGTCAGTTTGTCGATAGCGCTGAGCTCCTGCTCATTGTCGCGCGTGGCAAGCCGTGCCTTGTACTGATAGAGGCCTCCGTCAGATACCGTCTCGGTCTTGAAGACCCGTTCGGAGTAGGGGCATTTGTGCCCGACCTGCGCTTCGTCATGCGTCACACGTCGTTGCTCTGGAGCGCGGCGATCTCATCCTGTAAAGCCGTCTGCCACTCCGTGCGTTTAAGTTACGCATAGCTTCGTCATTGCAGCGTGGATCGCGCTCAAAAGCTGCAGAGACGATCTCGTCGTTCGCTGCTTGCTCCTCCTGGTGTGTATCCGACTTCGCTTCGATGCGCCGCGCATCCCATGCGCTTGACGCGTCCTCGACTTCTTACTTTTCTCTCGGGTGCCGCAATCTCTTACGCTTTCCCTTTGCCGTATCGGGTCTCTGCTGCTGCCTTTGCTGCTGGCACTGGATCTTCTGGAGAGATCGTCCGCGTTAATTGCGTGCTGGGGCTGCGTCTTTGAGCGTCCGATATCGTCTTGATAATTCTCACGTTCTGAGTTACGATAAACTTGTTCTCCTTCCGCAGCAGCACTTTACGCTACGTCATTTCATCGCTGATACCGACAATGACGCCGCGCTGAGAGCGCTGTTTCAGCGAGTTCTTAAGTGGGTCCATGTACACGATGTATGAAGATCTAAAAACGACACTCTCTTTGCATTATCTCGCGTATGCGGTTTGAAATAAAAAGGGTGTACTGCACCGCGTCTCTTCAGAATTTCAAGGGCATCTCACTCGCAAACGTCATGCTACGAGTAAGATTCTACACCGACCGGTGCATCGTATCCTCCTTGCCGATTGACGCTTAGTTGCGCTCCACCGTCACTTGAGGCACTATGCTTGTCCTCTTGCAACCAAGGTTGACAATAGTGTATTTAAGACTTCTTCAGTGCGCAAGACGTGGATTTTACAGTCGCAGAGTTTTTTTAAGTAAAGGAGGAACTCCTCTAACTGCTTTTGCGCCGCGCCCTTGGATGCGCAAGGAGCACACGGCAGCAGCTCATCTAATGGCCGACAAAGTTGACCAGATGACAATTGCCGATCCAATCCTACGGCTTCATCGAGTCCGTGAGGTCCGAGCAGATGACGCGGCCGACCCTGTCGACTGGCACTTTAGCGCCGCTGTCGCGCTGCGACTGTGCGTTCGCGCCTGCTTGCTCTCAAGGCACGACACTCACGTGATGATGTTGTTGCTGTACATTCAGATTCCCGATGCCTAGTCGCGCACCATGCGAACGATAGTGTATAAAGCGAGGTGGCAGAGTCGCTGGTTCAGTGCAGCAGCTACGCATTGTGCCTGATTGTCCGTGTCTCTTTCCGTCGCGTGAGCTTTGAAGGCGCTTATGATCGCTTTTAATCCGCTGTGCCTGCCGAGCGTCTCTGCCGTCTAGTTATACATCATGTTGTTGTCGATCGTGACGTCGAACGCGATCGCGCCATCTCTGTGTCGAGACAGCGGGCGCTTGTAGCTATCTGAATCAAGGGTCAATACCTTCTCTCGAGCGTTCCATACGAAGCGATGTTCTTCAACAGTCGATGCTCAAGTTAGAACTCCGTCAGCGTCAGAGCCTTATCTGCACCGCGCGCGAGGACCATCAGCCGCACACTGCCAAAGCGCGTCAAATGCAACGACGCCCCACCCGCAATTGCGATCTCATTGTCGCATGCAGTCTACTCGAGCAGCAGCGACTTGTCTTTTCACCGATGTCGATTCGCGCCGCTGTCGTGGATCCATTCACATCGCCTAGCACTTTCGCATCGCTCGCCGTGTGCACAAAATCACATGAGCTGCACACAGCTGATGCTTTGCCGCTTGCGTCACTCGCAGCTGGCTCTTTGACGCGAAGGATCATCTTCTCCACCTTGAGCTGATTTTGGAGTGTGCTAGTCGTCTTCTCAGCGAGCGTGAGCACCATGTCGGTCGCGCCGTTTGTGCCGCTCGCCTCGTCGTCGAGCTAAATTGCGCTTAGCACACGGATACGATGTGTCCGGTCTTCACACAGAGAAAGCATGTCCGACGATCTTGTCGCTTTGTCCCGATATGCTCCATGATGACCTTGAGACCCATCTAATTGATACCGAGCTCAATCGACTGCGCAAAGTGTGCCAGCTCTTCCGCGTGACACAGGTAGTCTGTAACGGGGTAAATCGTTACGTAACAATTTATAAGAAATTGTTAATAGAATATAACTATAAGAGTTAAATTCTCAGAATATTGTCATAAGGACAAATATTCTGTAGCACTTACGAGTAGTTCCTAATTGGTTGATATAGGCCATTATATCAACCAACGAAGACGCGCCACGACAGACGCACGCAATGAGTGGTGAGCAGATAGTTGATTTACACATTTGTATTTAGAAATAGTTAGATGAAGACAAATAGTGATTTATTGCAGACATTAACTATTATAAATACAGTTCTACTTTTTACTTTAACTAAGTACTCGCTTCTTCTTACCGTCTTCCTCTGCACGTACCAGTGTACGTGAAGTTCCGAGGCACCGCCTTATTCTGTCATCAGAATAAGTAGCTTGTATTGTCACCAGTACAAGCTTCAGGGTGCCCCGTTACACCTGGTAGCACTTCGTAGTCCGTCCAAGGACCACGTTCACATCTAACATGAATATGTTGGATGATGAAGATGACCAAAGCTTTCACGCTACGCGTGACGGCTACTCCCATTTGAGCGATGTCGAATGGGATGCGGTTGAACGAATGGGTTCAACCATGGGCGTCCATGCTATTAGCGTCATGCTAGAGGCTCTCAATAGAGATGCCCAACATGCTACTATCGCCAAGTTCATTCAAAATGAACTTGACGCTGAACGCGAGAAAGTAGCCTTGCTTCACCAACAAGGTTCTCAACAAGCAGAGTTGTTGAGAGAACAGGGTGCTCAACAGTTTGAACTGTTGAGACAGCATCAGGCTGCTGCTGGCGGGTCGATGCACTCGCGTCGACCCGAGACTTTGAAGATTGACATCTCCAAGTATAGGGGAGTCGAAGAAGACTCCCTCTTGAGATGGTTCGTCGAATTGGATGACGCCATAAGGGCGCGTCGCATCGACGACGGGGATATGCAAGTTGCATTTGCCCAGTCAAATCTGGCAGGACGTGCCAAGACTTGGGCTTTGGGGCTCAAGTTGCACGACCCATATGCGTTTGGGTCGTTGGAAGTCTTCAAGTCGCGGCTCAGACAAACGTTTGAACCGCCTAGAGCTGAGTTCAGAGCTCGAACCGAACTCTTGAAGCTCAAACAGGGTAAGCGTGATGTGCACGCTTACGCTCAACATATACGACATCTCACGAGTTGTATAAGTTCCAATCCGGTGGATGAACACACGTTGGTTTCGGTGTTCATGCAGGGTCTTGCGGATGGTCCCGTCAAGACTCACCTGTTCTGGCTTGAACTAGATTCACTAGAACAAGCCATTTCCATTGCGGAACAGGAAAGACTTCAGTCTGAGACATGCTCGCGCCAGCTCGACATCATATCGTCAACCGAGACGATGTGACAGCGGAGGTCCAGAGCCGATGGAACTCTATTATATAGAGAGCGAGAAGGCTCGCTCTACAGGCTACAAGAAGTTGCAGAGATGCAACAGATGTCAAAAGACAGGACACTACGCTTACGAGTGTAGTGCCCCTCGTCCAGTGTCTCGCAACACTGGGCGTAGTGACCGTCCACCCATGAGAAAGGGGCAGGGACGCGGGTCCGCTGTTGGTGCAAAGACGCAACAACGGGATGGACCGTCAAAAAACGGACAGGATCAGTAGGTGCGGAGCACCCTACTGGTCCAGCAACGTCAAGAGAATTTGTGGGCCTCTTGATGAAGGTTGCTCCCAACACACAAACGTTGTGCGCAGCTGCTCTAGGTAATGAGATCTCACTCATTACCTTGAAACTCGAAGTGACGAATAAGTTGTCCCTTCGAGCTCTAGTCGATTGTGGGGCGTCCAACAATTTTGTGCGACGCCAATCGTTAGAAGATGGTCACTTTAAGCTCAGTGAATGTGACACACCTCCTACGAGGATGACGGTACGTCTTGCGACAGGCGCATCCGTAACCGTCATGAAGCGTATAGTGAAGATCCACTATACGCTAGAAGATACCCAATATGACGATGACTTTATCGTATTGGATTTGGATGACAAATTTGATGTCATCCTTGGAATACCGTGGCTCAGAAGGTACGAACCACGGGTAAACTGGCAACATCGGACAGTAACGATGCCTGCCGCTTGTTGATCAGATGGCCATCTGATGAACGTTTTGGAGCGTCCACAAGCGTGTGGATGTACTACGAGTGAGTGCGATGGCCTCATTTGTGGTACGGTCGTTAGTACGACTGCACAAAACCTTAGTGTACCAAACGGTTACACTTCGGAGCAAAGTTCCGGCGGCTGTGAGGAAACACAGGCTGCGCCGAAGGTCCACCACTCGAATAAGTCGAGTGGACCGGGACAAAGATGTATCCCTAGTGGGGAACATCTAGAAGAGAAACAATCGATCGCTCAGGTTAAGCGAAACGATAATCCTAGATCGACTGGAGAGTCTTTCGTAGAGGATCTCGCTGTGGTTGCGCAACCACAGCTAGAGGAAGTTAAGGGAATAAGTCCCGATATCACAGATACGGTGGAAATAAGTTCCCCGAAACCCGCGGGAATAAGTCCCAGGGAAGCCGAAGGAATAAGTCCTTCGAAGCCTGAGGGAATAAGTCCCCAGAAAATGACAGAGACATTGAATGTCATAGTCAATGACGGATCAAGTGTAGGCGCTTATATACTTGATCTGATTGCGCCTCCGAAGTTAACTTCGGAGATCACTCAGTTGCCAACGCTCGAACATAAAGGTTCTTGCGTGATCTGCGTAGTGGCAAAGTCAAGCAGATCTGCGTACTCGTCGCTGACGACGACTGTGTAACCGACATAAGGTCAGCAACAATGTTTACTGAGAACGAGAGAGTTCTCAGTAGTTCATCTATGGACGAGAGCGTCCTAGATGAAAAGACACGAATTGAGCGATATGAATACCAAACGTGGGAATCGCTCAAGACAAATCCTCTCTATGAAGATTTGGTTGAATTCAAGGATGTATTCCCTGAAACTGTTCCGTGCGAATTACCAAAGGATAAACGTATTCGACACGAGGTCGAGCTTAAACCAGGCTCGAAGTACTGTGTCATGAAGCAGTGGCCACTGCCTCGTGAACAAGTACTTGCGATCGACAAGTTCTTTGCCGATCGTTTAGCTGCGGGCCATGTGAGGGAATCAACTTCCCCACATAGCTCTCCGACCTTCTGTGTGCGAAAAGCAACAGGAGAATGGCGGATAGTGCACGCGTTCAACAAATTGAACGCTGCAACGGTACCGGCTCAGACGCCGATACCAAGGAAGGACGTAATCATTGATGGTATGTCAAAGAGTACCATCTTTTCGTCCATGGATTTGATGGATGGCTTCTATCAAATCCTTATGCGGGAACGGGATATACCCTATACCGCAGTTAGCACGCCTAGCGGCATGCTCTGGGAATGGCTAGTAATGCTACAAGGGCTTAGTAATGCCCCAGCCACGTTCAACAGATGTGTATCACATCTGTTCAGACCAGTACGCGAATTCGCGCCGAGTTATTTCGATGACGTCTTCATCCATAGTCGAGCTATGGATGGAAAGTCGGACGTTGAGGTTCACAGGTACCACGTCCGACAGGTTCTTACAATCATGCGAAAGCATCAATTGTATGCTAACCTCAAGAAGTGTATATTTGCAGCAAGCGAAATACCACTTCTTGGGTGCACCGTTGGTAAGAACGATGTACGTCCTGATCCCGAAAAGATCAAGGCGATCACCGACTGGCCTGTGCCAGTTGATGTCAAAGGTCTTCGAAAATTCCATGGGCTAGCGGCGTATTTGCATGAGTATTCACGCAATTACGCCGAGATGACTGTACACCTCTCTCGTTTGTTGAAAAAAAAGAGAGGTGGTTATGGAACGCTGAATGTCAGCGCTCCTTTGATGGTATCAAGCAGAGCTTGATACAATCCCCAGTCCTAGCAATAGCCGATCAGGACAGGCCATTTCATGTGGTCTGTGATGCCAGCGATTTCGCAATCGGCTGTGCATTAATGCAGTACGATCTTGAAGGCGTTGAACGCGTCGTCTGCTATCAGTCGCGTCAGCAGCAACCAGCTGAGCGGAAATATCCATTGTATGACAAGGAACTCCTTGCCATGGAGTATGCACTCGCGAAGCTCAGATTCTATCTATTAGGAGATAGACCCTTCATTGTTTACACTGACCATGCGTCATTACGCACGGCAGTGAACAGCCCGCACCTTTCACAACGAATGGCACGGTGGTTGTCATTCTTTGCGGAATACAACTTTACGGTCGAGTACAAACCAGGACGACTTAATGTCGTCGCTGATGCACTCTCACGTCGTCCCGACTTTGAACCAGTCGTGAAACCCAACAGTGAGACAGTCACTGTTGCGGTTATGACGTCCTCAGTCCCATCTACAACGTTGTATGATGATGTGAGGCGGGCATACGCCCAAGATGGTGAGATAGTGAAGTTGTTGACACATCTCTCCCAACCATCTCGAGAATCGTTGAAACGATTGTCGCCTGCGTATCGATCTGCATCAGATCGATACACTACTCGTAACGGTTTACTGTATTATACTGCCGTTCCTGGTGACACACCACGTGTTGTCATTCCAGATGATACTGATCTGCGTTTGCGGATCATGTTCGAGTATCACGATGCTCTTATAGGAGGACATCGTGGCCGGGAGAAAACATATCTCACGGTGAGTCGAGACTTTTACTGGCCCCGCCAGTATCAGTTTGTGCGAAAGTATGTTCGCGCATGCGAAGTCTGTCAACGTGTGAAGTCAAGTCCTTCACTGCGTGCACCTTTACAGCCTCTACCAGTTCCGGCTGAGTGCTGGGAATCCATCTCAATGGATTTCGTCTTCGGGTTACCCAAAGACGCACGCGGGAATACGGGTATTCTCGTATTTGTTGACAGATTCAGCAAAATGGCACACCTTGTGGCTGTACCAGATTCAATCACGGCAAGTGGCTGTGCTTGTGTCTTTATTGACACCATCTTCCGACTTCATGGGTTGCCCCGTGAACTCGTATCAGACAGAGATCCACGATTCACTGCTGATTTCTGGCGTTCCGTGTTCAAATCACTCGGAACGCGCTTGAAGATGTCGACATCTGATCATCCAGAGTCAGATGGTCAGACGGAACGTGCCAATCGTGTCCTTGAAGAGATACTTCGAGGATACGTACACTCCTTTAAGAGTTGGAGTGAGTTTTTGCCAATGGTAGAGTTTGCCATCAACAACTCGGTGCATGCGTCCACGACACATACACCGTTTTACGTGAATGGCTTGCGCCATCCGCGTGTACCCACCTTACTAGAGTGGAACTCTGGTTTAAGGGGGGGAGGGACTCGCGCGAGCAAAAACCGATTTGGTTCACGCTCATCACGCTCTGACAAAGAGGTCATTGCGTTTGACGCCGATATCGACAACATCGATATCGAAGATGATGATGACAGTGAGAGCGAGGAAGCCCTCACTGAAGAAATGCTTGATGTTGCTGCAGTGCGCTCACAGCACACTGAAGCTAACGAGTCATCAGATGAGTTCATACTGGCTCGTGAAACGGTAGTCCGTTTTGTGCAAGACTCCATCGCCGAAGCGGTGGATAAGCAAAAGCAAAACGCTGACAAGAATGGAAGGGCAAACACTCTTTTATTTAATAAAGGTGACTTAGTCCTACTGTCTACGGTTAATCTACCAAAGCATGTAGTGACTAACTTGGGTAGCAGTAAACTACTACCCAAGTACATCGGCCCATTTCGTGTATTGCACCGCCTAGGCTATGCATACACGATCTAGTTACCACGTAAGATGCGAACGCATCCCACGTTTTACGTTGGTCGGCTTAAGCCGTACCATCAGTACGCTGCTTCTTCCGATGAAGAACGCCCTTGCGCTCAAGCATCTCGCAGAGAGCCTTGTGCTCCCGATGGTGGGCATCAACAAGGGTCTGAAGAGCAGCTATCTCATCCCGAGACCGATCAACAATCCCACGAGCTACCCTTAGCTCGTCACGAAGAGATGTCAGAGATCTCTCGTTCTCAAGCTGAGCAAAGGCAAACTCAGCTCGATGCTTCGAGGCAGTGTCCGCCATTTGGAGACGCCTATTCCGCTCATGTTCGAGATCGTCGCGTAACCCTTGCGTTACGCGATCAAAGAAGCTCTCGGGAACACACGGATCCCCATGATCGTGTGGAGAGCGTCTTTCCTCCTCCTCCACCTCCATTAGAGGACTCTCGCGGTGGCCAGCGCTATCTAGTTGAGCAGCTGTTGAACCACCGCGACGTGAACGGACGTCGGACGAGTTATCTCGTCCGGTGGCGCGGCTATCCCCCGTCCTGGGATACTTGGGAGCCCCGCTCCCAACTGATGATTGACGTACTGGGTCTGG